AGTCGTTTTGAGATTAGTTAGTTAAAGTCTCCTATCCCTCAATACTCCTTGAAGGATTTGATTCGTAACTATTCCCGCAAAATCTGGTTATAAGTTGGTGGAATCTCTTAACTTTTGAACATTAATAAAATGTTGTTATCATTTCCCTATTGTTTCATTTTCTGGAGCGTGCCAAAGGGAAACTTCATGAAATTTTAACTAGACAAATAGTTTTTGCCTACAATTTAAAAATAGCGATTTTTTAAAAATTTAAATGTACAACGAATCCCAGTTTCCAAATCCCACGAATCCAAGGTTTTTGTTCAAAAAATATTTAACAAAGAATTTATTTCAATTTTACTTGCAATAATAAAATACTTGCTATGTAAATAAATACATATATGAAATTAGTAAATATTGTTTAACAACTAAAAGAATTACATATAATTTTAATTTAAAAATAAATATTTTTAATAAAATTTATTATAATTTCATGACTGGGGAAATTATCATTGTATGAAGAAAAATGGCCTAAATTATAGACTTTACTTGCTTTTTAGGATTTCAATATTTTATTAGTGAATTTTTCCCGATTAAATATCTGTAATTAGATATATATATATATGTAGATCTAAGTACATACTACATACATACAAGGATAAGGAGTATCTACATATGTATAAGGAATAACGCCTGCTAGTGACAAATTCCTTTAAAAATCCCCATTTATAACTGATAATAAAACTCTTGCATAATTTCTCAATAATTCTAAAGAATACAGAAAATTTAAAATTCAGGAAAACATCTTAAAACAAATATTTCAGAAAGAAATTCATTCAAATATCTACACATTGTTTCCTGATCGAAGCATATAACTATGACGCTTTTGTTTATCTTTTACTTCTAAATTTTTATTTTCCTCTGTAGTTTCTTTAGAGGTTCCATTTCACTTTATAAATATTATAAATAAAAATTTTAAAATATATTGCAAAACAGTATTTTGTTAAAAATTTGGAAAATTCTTGAGGTGTCTGGCAATAATTTAAAAGAAATTCGAAAAATATTCAAAATTTTGGCCTATCTAGTCTAGCGCATACAACAATCCAATATTATTTCTCTAAATAACCCCAAAACTTTTATTACTTAAAAAACTAGATTTATAAGTTTCACGAAATTATTACGTTAACCAAAAATATCCCAGGAACCAATCCGAAAGTTTCGATATATGGTAAGCACAGATAAAGCTTAATGCTTACATAATACCGGTCTAGTTTATGTATGAATATCCCATAAATCACATTAAATTCTAAATACAATGTCTGTCATTTAAAACAAATATCTTTGTTATTTTCTGAATCAAAATTTTGCTAGCTACTCAGTTAAATATACCGATAGTTTCGACGTTTGCGTTTAGACCTTTTAGCCTTAGTTATTTCGCTAATATTTGTTCCATTTTGTGTTGAAATATAAGCTTCTTTAACATGATTATAAATTTTACGAAGATTATCCCCAATTTCCTTTTGTTTGCTCAAATTCTTTTGTTTTTTTACCTCATATCTTTTAATTTGTTTAGTTTTCAATTTAATTATTTTACGATATTCATTTATCTACAATTTAATAGAATAATAACTTAAATTATTATTTATAAATTTACTTTTTCAATATGATCAGCAGGAACATTATCAGGATTTTTTATAATTTTTGAATATATATTTGTTATATATCCCTATAAATAAAAAAAAATTAAATAATTATTGAATTTGGATCCAGGAGTTTCTATTTTATTATTTTACATTTATTTGTGTTCGGTAAAGAAAATAGAATGGATATTGTTATTTGTTGCGGTTAAAAAGTAACTAACAAATGAACCTTATCACAAGTGTAATAAAATGAGGGTATCGTGTGCGCCCTTATGTACGCGCCCTTTTGAGATATACCTGACACTGCACATCACTAAAAATTAACGGTTCGGTCTCGGATATCCGAAGATTTTCCAAGAACGACAGCCCTACTTGTCAACACATAACTAACAGATTTAAATTATTTATGTATATAAATTTGGTATATAGATTTGGTTCTTTGAATCATTTTAATTCCCATCATTAAAAATTTAAAAATAAAATTTTAACCTGTAATTTAATTTTTAAATTTAATTGATCATTAATCATTTCTAAAATATCAGCTAATTCTCCTCTATAGTATAAAAGAGATATTTTCAAATTCTCGTATTGCTTCAATAATTTGTTATTTTCCAAAAGTTGGACTTTGTTTTTAACTTTAATAATTTAATATTTATTCATTGCATATAGGTAAGATATATTATGGACATTATAAGGATTTATAGAAGATATCGGGATTTGGGAAAAAAATCTCGTACTCACTCTACAATATCCTTATCCTCCCATATCGCTCGATATCCATATCAGTTACTCTTGCCCCTATCTTTATGTCGATGACTGTACATATGTCATTTCCTTGTATACAAAAATAAAACGAAAATTTTTTCTTCGGTACTGTTTTTTTTTTCTTTGAAAAAAAAATTTTTTCTTCGAACCGTACTGTCGGTTCCTGGAAAATATTAGAATATCCGAAACCGAACCAAAGAACCGGACCGAAAAATTTTTTTTTCGGTGCCGTTTGGTCCAGAACCTACAACCCTGCTCATAGATGGTAACAAACGAACCAATTAAGAATAATATCGTATTTTAAATAATTAATTAATTATCAAATCAACTTACCAGACACATCGAGTATTATTTCCGAAAGAGGTTCAAGTCCATTAGCAAAATCAAAGAGTTTATTATCAAGAAGGGGGTCACTTTAGTACGTGGGTCCCGGAGTTAATATACAAATGTTATACCATTCGAAAGAGCTCCTCGAGCTGAGTCGAATGACACCAGTTTTAGCCCGAGGAAAAATTTTTGGACCGAGATATAGGTCCCCGAAATTTGAAAAAGCATAGGGGGGACCAAGCACTTTTTTGGGGTGAAAAATTCGAATATGAGAATTATACCTCATTCGAAAGAGCTCGACAAGCTGAGTCGAATGACACCAAAATCACCGTGATTGAACAAGATTAGACAAAGTTATGATACAAAAAACAAAAAACCTAAACCTATGGAGCGTCGGCGAGGCGCTTGTGCAAAACCCCGCGCTTCGCGCGGGGTTTTGCGGCACGCGCCTCGCGGGGAGTCTACGGGTGCTGGGTCTGGGCTCGTAACATAAACCTATTCCTATCTCCCTTGCTCTGGACGTATTTGGGGACTCCGTAGCAGCAAAAATCTCCGCATATGCCATAGGTAAGGAGCTAAAATAAAAAATCATAACTTTGTCCAATCAAGTCAGATTTCGTTGATTTTGGTGTCATTCGACTCAGCTCGAGGAGCTCTTTCGAATGAGGTATCATTTGCATTTTCGAATTTTTCACCCCAAAAAAGTGCTTGGTCCCCCCTATGCTTTTTAAAATTTCGGGGACCTATATCTCGGTCCAAAAAATTTTCCTCGGGCTAAAACTGGTGTCATTCGACTCAGCTCAAGGAGCTCTTTCGAATGTTATAACATTTGTATATTAACTCCGGGACCCACGTACTAAAGTACAGCCTCAAGAAGATTTATCTTATGTTTAAATTAAAATTTTTTTATTATAAAATAGAAATACCGAAAAATATTTTTCTTCACCACCTTCACTGTCATTTTCAATTTGAACTTCATTAGCATCTTCGTGTAATGAACTCTCAATAGAATTTTTACCTAATATTTTAGAAGAAAATTGGAGAAAATAAAATAATGAAATCGATAAACTTTTTTTCATATTCAATCTTTTTTTATCAGACTATTTAAAATTAATTTTAATTTGCACTATAGAATCTCACTCTTATTTACATAAAATAAATTAACCAACTCCCGAAGTCACTCATGACCCGATTCCCACTTCACGATTCCCGGGATTTTTATTTTGCCGAGCATCACTAGACTATAGTAAAGATGGATAGTAGTAAAGCCTGGTTTTTTCCTTTACCCAGAGTCCAGGCCCAGGAATTTTATGACCTTCATGGTGTTTTCCGGGCTTTTCCAAACGTATTATAAATTGAACTTTATACAATTTATTATTATTCTGCAGGAGTTTTCAATTATTAATTAGCGATAGCAATAAAAAAATAAATGGGAAAGGGAAAACCTTTGAAGTGAGATAGATTTTAACAATTTAAAAATATTTATTTACATGTTAAAGTGCAGATTTAAAAGAATTTAAAAAGAATGCCGAAAAAAATTTTTTTATTAAAAAGGAAGAGACCAAAACACAAAAATAAAAAAGACTTTTGAAATTGTTTTTGATGTAGGCGCTAACATATTTTGTAGAGACGTCCAACACTCTGGTCTTGAGTCTTGATTCCAAGACTTTTCTTGGACTTTTTCTCGGTCTTGGTCTTGGGGTGAAGTCTTGGTCTAGACTTTTTTGAGCTCATCTAAAGTTACACCCCTATGAATTGAACTGTTTTGATATTTATAAAGAAAAGGTCAAAAAACAAGATTTAAAAAAATTATCTTTAAAATATTATTTAAAAATCTATGTACATATTTTGAATATCTCATAAATTTCCCTCAGAAAATCCAGAAGCCTTATTCCTATTCAGCCCATTTATTTGTATTGTTAGTAAAACTGGTACTATAAATAGACCATGAATTGTGCCAATAATTCTAGTAAATTAAAAATTAATTTATATTTTAGGAATTATTAAATAGGGTTGAAAAGTATTTTTCGATTAGCTCTGGAAATCAAAAGATTTTACAAGCCTACTTATTGATAAAACAATTATGTATTTGGACTAGTAACCTCATAAGGAGCCCAACCCTGAAGTTATCCTTCCCCGATATCTTCCAAATCTCCTGATATCCAGATATTTCCCTTAATCTATGACCGGATGAAGGGTTATTATCTTCATTTACATATACACATCTTATTCCCGCCTAATCCCTCATCGCCTTATCCATCCTGATCCCCGGATTAAACTAATATAGTAAAGAAATAAAAGGAATAAATAGTGTGATAAAATTTGTAGGTCTTCAGGTTGCCCCCTTATAAGTATCGGTAAATGGTCAATCGCTATAATTGAGATTTTTGTTCGAGATCCCTTTATATAAAACTGAATTACCCTAAAAACAAAACAGTTCTAGCAAACGAAGCAATAATTTCAATTGAGATAAAGAAAAGAGGGAAAATACAAATTATTGTTGAGATAACAGCCTTTAGTTAAAATTATTTTTTAAAATTAAAATCGAAATTTATACCTCAAGCATAGGCCTACCAACAACTTCAATTATTTGTTCTATCCTTTTTTCAATTTCTTTTTGTTCAAAAATTTTAATATTGTTTATTGGAGACTCTGTTTGAATTTCTTTTTGTTTTTCTTGCGAAATATCAAAATGATAACAAATGTGTGCTGAGAAATCAACAGAAAGACCGATAGCCATCAATAAATTGATCATTGTAACCTTAAAGTTTTTTTAAATTTTATTTGAAATATTACTAATTTGGCATTTGCAAATCGGATGGCGCGACACGAGGCTTTCTTTCGTACTGATCTATAATACCCGCAAACCTCAGAAAGCCTTATTTTTCAAGATGCCCGATTCGCGCGCTATCAAGAATATATCTACAATACTCCGGAACCCCTGTCTTGGGACCGGCCAGGTGATCCGAAAAAGCTTTGTCGTGGATCCTGCCTGCGGTCCCGAAAACCTTGAACTGAATCCGGCCCAGTGGTCCAGAAAGCCCTTTATTGGCTCCAGGCCGGTGTCAAATATAACTTAAAATATACTATAGTTAAACTTCAATATTTAACTAAAATTTAAATATTTACTGGGTCTATGTCTTGACCGCACCAACCGAGTGTGCCCAACAATGCTTAAAATTTAAAATATATTTTTACATTTTTATAAAATTATTAACTATAAGAAATTGAAAGAACGGAAAAAGTAGCAATTCCTGTACATCGTAATGTTGGGATGACGAAAAAACAGATTAAAGCCATACACGTTAAAGTTACAAAAACTGCTTTGAGCATTTCGGTCTAAAATTTGACAATCAAATACAATAGAGTTTAATAGAGTTTTAATTTTATTTTTCAAATTATCGCTCGAAAATTTAATATTTACCTTAACTCCCAAAATTAAATCATAAATAGTCGAATCATAATCAAAGACCGTAACATTAAATTTCGGAAATTGATCCACAATATTTCTTATTTTATCAACAAATAATGCTCTTTCAAGCCAATTCAAATCTCCTTTAATTATTCAAAAAATATAAATTAAAAAATAATTTTACAAACCCCCACGGGAAATTCCAAAAACAAAGCTATCAACAGATATATTTCCTCTTTAAAAAATTTTTTTCTAATAAAAAATAAGATAAACTAACAATCCAAAATCTCTGAATTGTACAATTCTTTTATCATCCATTCTTCTCTCTTTTAAAAATTGCGGAACCAAAGAATAGTTTGGTTGGTAATTAATTGAATTGTTTAAATTCATTTTGGTTTTGTGATACTAAAATAACTTTTGTTAAGAGGATCACATAGTAAATTACACAAATAAAAATTTCAGAATACTTGTTTAATTCCTTCTAAAATAAAATGGCACCCTCACTCACTCTCATTCTCCCCCCTCACTCTTCTTTTCCCCTCTCTCCCTCTTTTCCCACTTACTACATCCATATACCTATCACACTCCCATCCTCGCGTCCCTCCATCACACCATCCCTCCTTAGGTGCCTCTCTACCTCCTTATCTCCCCCTCTCCTTCCTTATCCCACACTTACTTCCAAATAGCCATTAAGCCATATTTTAACATGCAACGTATTTGGCAAATTCTTTATAATATTAATCATTTTATTGAAATTGTTTAATTCTACAGGATCAGAAATATTTGGAGGGTGAAAGACAAAAAAAGAGATTGGAGAATGCTTACAAATAAAAAAGATTTATATTTCCAAAAGTAATATTTTACATATTTCATAATTCTATTAAATATTTTGATTGTATCCTGAAGTGGAGAATCGCCAGGAAATGTTCTTTCTGGTATAAAACTAATCTCCATTTGATTAATTCCAAAATAAGCTAGAATATATGAGACAAAAAGTAGCACAAATACAGATATTTTAGCTCGAAATGAAACAAGAAATTTTGAATAAAAACGTAGAAATGATGAAGAAAATGAAGAAGAAGATCTGAAGATTAATAATAATTAATATTAGATATTTTTTATTTTTTCTAACTCAGATTTTAAGTTTCAACATTTTTGGATTCAAATTCTAAAAGTCAAATTTGTTAAAAAAGCTATATTAAACTTCGAAGCAGAATTTCAAAAATCACCCAGACGTCCTTAAATGCTCTCTGCACAAATATAGATATTTTAGCTCAAAATGAAACGAGAGAATACACTCCTTTTAGTGGGTTGGATGGTACTTGGTTGGGTTTCTTGGAGTGATGAGTTAAATGGGATTCGATCCTGGGAACTCTCCGATGCAACTTTTCTAGTCTCTCAACAATCCCTTTATTCAAACCTGCCGGCCTTAAATTATGGTGTCCATAAAAATCCATAAAAATCCTATGTATTATAAATTCATCTATTGTTTGAATAGAACACGATGATATTTTTATGATAAATTTCAAAGCAGATAATATTATTTTTTAAATCAAGTAAAAAATTATTTTAACCTTTCCTTTCTTAATTTTATTATTCCAAAAAGAGGCCAAGTTTCTCTTTTTATTGAAATCTCGTTTTCTTCAATTTTCCATTTAATAAAAGGGAGACAAGGTGCAAATATCAAAAATTCAAATAAAAAATCCAAGAATATAGCAATTGAAGTACACAAACAAAAATTGGACATTAAAGACGACGGAGAGAAAATACCAACTCCAAAAGCAATTCCATTAGTTAATGAAGTTATTGCTATAGAAGAACCCATTTCTCCAAAAACATTCGCCATTCTTTGAGCAAATATATCTTTTTAAAAATTATTTTGAGGATTAATTAAATGTTTTGATTTTTAAGTAAAGAATTATTAAACTAAAACTCTGCCTCTAGTTGAATGCCTGGGCACTCTAATTTTAATAATTCAACAGTGGGCATTCTACATATTATAAGTGTGGGCATTGGGGGGGGGGGGGGGGATTTTCTCCAAGAATGTATTAATAAAATTATTATGGGAGGGGCACCACGTTGGAATCACCGTTCGATGGGGCATTCTACTAGAAGTGTGCACTATATTCGAGAGTGCTTAAGTCTTAATTACCTCTGGGTCGAAAAAATGAAAAAATTTGTGAGTCCGGGTTCATGTTTCTGCTACCATCCAGAATAATCGCCTTGCTTTTTTACAAATACTACTAAATTTTTACCTATTTTTTGATTACTTTGTTTATTTTCGTTCAATTCCCTTTGTTCAATCAAAGCCCATTTTCTCCAAGAATGTATTAATAAAAAAGCATTATCCACTCCAATACCAAAAACGAGAAACGGCATTATAGGCATTATTGAATTAAATTTAATTCCGATCCATCCAATAATTGAGAAAGCAACAGAAATTGATAAGAAAGGTGAAAGTAATGAAGAATTAATTAAAATGAACTTAAATAAAAGTTATAGTAAAGCTGAAACGAGCTATAGATATTTCTCCTACAGCTAATGCAAAAGATTATTCTAGCGTCTGGAAGTTTCAATCTTCCGGATTGATGTGCATTTAATACATTACGTCGTCCTCTGCATAGCTTTAGACTCAATTAATTACCCTTGAAACAATAATTACCCATGGTAATTATTTGAGCGTACTTTATTTGCGGTTAAATCTTTTATAAAAAATTACTTGAGATTTCCAATTAAAATGCCAAAAAGCCACAACCAAAAATAAAATCATAGCAACAACCCCAATACCCAATAGACTTGTAATTATCTTAGCACCCCTCATCATTTCATAATTAGCTAATTGATCAGTATAAATTAAAACTTTGAATTTTAAATTATTCAAATCTCCATTATTTATATTATCAAACAATTTTAATTCTAAATTATTTAATATTTCCATTTGATTTTTATTTTTATTGTTTCCATCAAGTAAATAACTTTAAATTAATTAATTCAAAAATATTTTTTGTATTGTTTTTTACTAAATTCCAATGGTTTCCACAGATTCTATTTTAGAAGGGTACTTTTCTGAATTATTTTCGTGTCTTAATTCAACACCAAAAAAATGAGAATCTAATAGAACATCGAAACCATAAATTTGAGATATTGGAAAGTCCAAATTAATTTGTTTATTTAATTTTGAAGTTAATAAAAGAGATGTACTTTGTAATTGATATGCCCATTTAAATGCGTGAAAAAGATAATTCATATCACCTTTGCTGGTCTAATAATTAATACAAATATTTAGTTAATTATTTAGCTCGAATAAATACCACGGGTAATTAGTTTTCAACCTATGTATGGATGGATATGGGGGAGGGGGTATCCGTGGATAGGTATTTACTTATCCGTATTTACGGTATATACGTATATACGGTATATACGTATTTTCATCCTCTGTTTGGAGAGGGTATTTATCGAACATATAAGCTATTCAAAATACCTCAAAATCCTTTAAACGAACAACTCTTTGACTACCATTTTTTCCATCAGAAGCCCTTCAAAATTAATTTCCAAAGAAAGTTCTTTTATATATCTATCTAAAGTATCCACATCTGAAAGCAATTTATCATTCATAATTAAGCGTTTATCTGAAGTTTTTGGTTCCAAAAAGATCAAGACAAGATCTACTCCGTCTATAGAGACATTATAGAATTCAGCAAATGCCTACAAATTTAAAAAATTTTTAATTTTAATAAGCATATGGCTTTTCAGTAAATCTGAAGACGATCGATCCAATCTTGGAATACTAAAAGTGATATTTTGATTAATCATTAAATAATCACTTGGACCGAGTTTAGTCGGTCGAGTAGCTGATATGGTGATGGTTCCAGGGGAATCTACTGAAAATACACTTGGATTTTACCCTTAGTCTGAGTATCAGTTATTCCTCCATTCTTCATTTCGGCTAAAACTTCACTTGTAAATAATGATAGACATGAAGATGGAAAGATAACTGAATTCAAGCTAGAAGGGGGACGAGTTCTTGAAAGTAACCTCCGATATCCGCCAGAATTCCAAGAATAAGCCAAACTTTTTCGATTTCGGATCGCGTGAACCAAAAACTCCGGAAGATGGTAAGGTCTACTACAGTAAAAGAGTAGAGAAAGTTGAGAGAAATATTTTTAATTATAATTCTACCTTCGATTCACTTGTTGCCCTTCCATTTTTAGGGGAAAACCCTCTTCTTACATCAGTTTCTACTTTAATATCATAAATTAAATAATAAGATAATGATGGAAGGAATAAAAATAAATTTGTTAAAAAGATAGTTTTGGGCCTTTTGCCAACTATTAAACCAATTTTTCGAAATAAAGATGATAAACTCATAAATAGCTAAAAAATAAATTATAAATTTAAATTAATTTATAAAATTAGATTAATTTTTAAAAATCTTGTTCCGAATAATGATTAATTAATTAAATAAAATAACATTTACATTGTGTAAAATAATAATATAACGATGGAATAATATTATTCTGGAAAAATTATTAGGATTGGACACAATCAGAAAATTAACCACTAACATGTTTTTGGTTAATCCAAATCTAAAAATTGGAGGGTACCTTTTGAGTTTTAGTTTAATACCCGTTTTATTTTGGGGGAATATTTTTTAATTGCTTATTTAAAAAAATTTTTTTTTGAAAATTTCATAAAAACGGCATATTTTTGGAAAGAAATATCAAAAATTTCGCTTCTTAAACAAGTCGTATCTTAAACAAGTCGTGCGCCCCCCCCCCAACAATTATGTATTTACTAATTAATTTTTCAAATTATTAAAAAACATAAAAAATCGGTTGCTATAGCAACTGATTTTTCATAAAAATTTTATTTAAAATTAAAGAAAATTAATAAATATATTTTTAAATGTTAAGAAATGGTAAAAATTATTAGCAAGATTTATTTAAGTTTTTAAATTATTAATTATAGGTGTACTCGAAAAATAAAATTGCAGTTATTATTGAATTAAAGCCTATAAGAAAAATAAATGTTTTTATTTAAATAAATAATTTAAAAAAGCCTTTAGAAATTAATTTTTTATAAAATTTAAAGTTAATTTATCAATTGTTAGGCGAATGAATTAGTCAGAATGAAAATAAATTTTACTAAAAATAAGTTTATCTTCTTTGTTCTCTACTGCAAAAAAAGAAAACAAAAATTTAATTTTATCGCGAACAATCAGTTTTTAAAAATGTAATAGGAAATTTGAAATTTAAAGAAACGCGCAAAAAATCATAAAATAATGAATGTACAAATAAAGTATAGATTATAAATAATAATAAATAATTATTTACTGATAATTAATTACATAATTACTGATATATGTATGCCAAGGATTTTTTGGTATTCAAGACTGAAATTTGAATCACAACATTTTACGTGGTTGGGGACATCCTGTATCGAACTGGACATCCTGTATCTAAAATCATTCAGTAGCTTATATAAGTTTTAGGTTTTTCAAGAGTTGGCCGGTATCGGGATTTCGAGAAAAACCCGGGATCGGGATTTAGGAATGGTGATCCCGATCCCGATCCCGGATCCCGACACGGGATCGGGATTGGCCGAAATCGGGATCGGGATTTGGACTGGAGATCCCGATCCCGGTCCCGATCCCGAATCGGGACCGGGATTAAAAACTCGGGATCGGGATTTACTAAAAAAAATTTAAAAACTTATAAATTTTTATTTTCTTCACAAACGACTCAATATAATTCTAAAATTTCCACTGCGGTGCTGAAATATTGAGTTAAAGTCTCATAGACGCATGATTTACTTTCCGGTTCAGGGTATTAAGGGGGGATAAGGTAATGGGGGGGGGGAGGATAAATGGGCACCTTGGCTTTTTGGCACCTTGGCTTTCCAAATTTTGAAAAATTTTGAAAAATTTTGAAGGCCAAGGTGCCAGATTTCCTCCCTTTTAAGCGCCGCAGGCAATAATTTTTAATTTTGGAAGGCCAAGGGCATTTAAGTGGCGAAAATTTTGAGAATTTTGGATGTCAGGATGCCAAATTTCTTCCATTTTCTGCGCCGCAGGCGAAAATTTTTCTTAATTTCATGCCTCCTCTCTTCTGTTAACTTTATTTCCACAAACTTCTAGTCAATTTAAAAATCGGGATTTGCATCGGGATTTGATGCACATCCCGATCCCGATCCCGGATCCCGGCTCGGGATTAAAAATGGCCGGGATCGGGATCGGGATATATATTTCGGGACCGGGATCAGAAAAATCGGGATCGGGATTTGAAAAACCCGGGATAATCCCGCCCGATCCCGACCGGGATCCCGATCCCGGCCAACTCTAGGTTTTTCGATGCTCTAAAATTATAAAAAATCGGTATACAATCGAAAATTTATCTTAATAAACTGCTAATGATCAACTAGAAATTGTTTTGAACAGCAAAATTGCTTAAGAACCCAAACAAAATCTTGAAACTAAAATAGAAATGTTTATTCAGACTTTTATTTCCTTTTATTTTCGCTGAATAATAAGAAGCCTTAGTTTTTCAAAATCTCATGTGTAAAATTAATTATTAAAGACAAAAAAGTTAAAAATCAATCATAAATCAACATAAATTTAAAAAAATTTAATTTGAACAGCCAAGAAAAGATTCTTGATATTGTTAAATGAAACTTTTATACAAAAATTTTTTGGTCCTCCATATTGGTTATATCGAGTGTTGACGATGATTATAAATTTTTTAAATTAAATTTTGTAATAACACTACACTGACAAATGAGGAATGTTATTTTTTAATTTAAAAACACTAACAAGTTTTGAGGAAATAATAAAAAAAAAATTTTTTTTTTATTTTTCTCGTCATTTAAACTGGCCAAAAAGTAAAATAATTGTTTTGAGGGAAATTGCACTTTAATTGTAAAACCCCATCGTTCATTCTTAAATTGCTTTCTCAATCTTTTAAATTGAACAAGTTTTGTTATACATATTTATTGTTTTTTATTAATTTTGGCGATATTTTTTTAATGAAAGTACGAAATTTTTATTAAAGAATGTTTTTAAATTTTAGTAATTTTACGTAAATATTATTATTTTTTTATTTTAAAATTTTTTTGAGAAGATTAAACATTAACTAAAGAACATTGAAATAAAATATTGTTCGAGATTAAAAATAAAAGAACGAATGAGTGTTATTAAGAATATGGGTTCTAATTCTAATCACTCTAACTCATATGACTTTACTTGTTGGGTTGATAATAATGTATTTTGACATAAATGTCATTTTTTGACATAAAATAAAAATTTCTGGTAGTCTCGGTCAGTATCGTTTCTCGGTATCGGTCTCGGCTCAAAATGATGGTATCGGTCTCGGTATCGGGTTCTTGAGTATCGATCAATCTCGGTCTCGGGTTGGCCGATACCAGTATCGTTTTGTCTAACTCTAGTTGTAACTTTTAAACGGAAGATTAGATTAGAAGTTAAAGTGATCCTTCAATTTGGGGTCCTTCCAGTTTTTATTCAATTAAATATTCGATCAAATTAAAAAAAAGGAGAAAATAAAAATGCTTGGATATAAATCATAGTGCCAGAAACTTTTATACTTTCAGCAAGTTATTTTAGATTAAGTATAATAATGGCATATAATTCGGGTTATAAATTATAATTTTATGCCTAAACGCAGCTTGAACTGGGTTCGGGATTAAAAATAAATAAAATTTTACTAAATATTCGAACTCAGCACACTTAATTTAGTTATAAACTTGTAAATATTGAAAAAACACTTGCTCATTTTTTCAAGGGAAATGAAAGTGAGAAATGCGTCAACAAAATAAAATAACGTATTTTCTTTAATTAAGCGACACACCGTTCAATCGACATTGTTAATTTAATGCGTTAATTAAGTATAATGCATTAATTAAGCGACAAACTGTTTCAATACACTCTTAGGGTACCGCTGTATTGGGGACTGCCGTTCAAATAGAGACGCCGCTCAATTAGAGAAAATACGGTATTACTGAAATTTTTTCTTTTTTCTTCCTGAACAACTTAGATTTTTCCTCCACCATCCCTTCCAAATTCTTCAATAATGGCCCCTACGATCATTGCTATTTGAACTGCTGTTAAACCAGAACCTGACGACATAGCCTTGGCCAAATTTTCGCAAACAAAACCACTAGCTCCCAAAACTTGAGTTATTATAGGTAAAATAGATTTTTTGTTGTTAGCATAAAATTTAATAAATTTACGCCAATTTTCTTCTTTAATTTCCAAACGATGTTCAATTGCTGATTTTATTTCTTCAAGTTCTTCAAGTCCATGACTTTGATTAGACATTCTGTCAGCAATTTCTTTCAGCTTTTTTGTAAAATCTGAAATAATTAATATTCAAATAACTACTATATTAAAGATTTAGGTACATGTCACGCCAACTGTCTACCTTTTATTTTTCCTTAATATGTACAAAATGGTCAGACTTTCTTCCTCACATTGACAGTACTTGCCTTGTGCTTCTTTATTTTTTCTAATTGAACATGCTTCAGGACAAATTGAGCAAAATTGAAGAAAGAAAAAGTTCTGACCATTCTGTACATAGTAATGTTAAATAGAAGGTAGGCTGACTGGGGTCTGTTTCAATTAGCATCACATCTGCGATGTGATGATATGATGATCATATGCGTGTTCCAATTAAGATCATATCATCATATCGTCATAATCATATGCAGGAACCGCATATGACGGCTGCATATGATTTGTCCGTCATATGACGACGTCGTATCATCATATGATTGTTTCAATTAAAAATCATATTTGCGATATGATGGGTCGTCATATCGTCATATTTCCGATGTTAAGAAAAAGGGAAAGAAATATTTTTAATTTTTCCCGATTTTCCTTGTGTTGATGTGTGGTTGAATGGTTAAGGCGACTGGCTTCACTAACCGATATGTTCATAGGGTTGGGTTCGAGTCCAAAGCTGGAAATGAGGCCGAAAAAGGATTTTTTTTTTTCAAAAATAAATGTTTTTAAACTTTGATTTTCATTTTAGATTTTTAAATGTATTTTTTTTAATATTTTAAACTTGAAAAGCATTAAAAATTTTAATTTAGTCATTATTAGCCAAAATTCTCAAAATTTTTACCTGCGGCGCAAAAAATGGAAGACTCTATCCGAAGGCTCTACCCCGATTAACCCCGATTCGGGGTCGGGGTAAAACATACACCCCTAAAGATGGGAATTTTTCGGAAATTCGAATGACCAAGGTACATTTTGACAAAATATCTTTCCCGATATTTTTATAAAAGTCAAATTATATAATCAGGGTGGCCTTTTCCAAAACACCAAAATAGGGAACAGCCCCTCAAAAATAGGGAATAAATAGGGAAAAATATGTCAAAAATAGGGCAAATAGGGCAAATAGGGCAAAAAATCTCCTAAAGATTCTGAATACAATGCTAAAAACCGCATCCAAATCGGTCGAAATTCTACAGAGTTATTAATTTTTGAAAATCGAAAAAACACCCATTTTTTGCAAAAAAATCGACAAAAATGGCAAAAATGGGTGTTTTTTCGATTTTCAAAAATTCATAACTCTGTAGAATTTCGACCGATTTGGATGCGGTTTTTAGCATTGTATTCAGAATCTTTAGGAGAATCACATATAAAATTTACAGACTTCAAAAAAATTTCTCCGAAAAGTCGAAAATGTAGTACCTGTTAGACCGGTCGAAAAGTTTTCGAAATTATCAGAATTTTGAAAAACGCTGAAACATGTCAACTGAGATAGGAATTAAGCTATTTTTTTAAATTTAGATCTGCCAGATCGGATAAAGATGAACGGAATTACATGGAGTTTACCCTTTCCCTAAGTAAATTTCCGCCACTGTAGATCTCGGTCCACAGGAATTTCCGCACCTTTATGTCTGGATCCTTATCATCTTTATATCCACTTTAATCCCTCTACTTATTTAATACCTCGAACTCGAAAGATATTCCACTTAATCTTGCCAATCGAAAGGCGATAGGTCTCTCCATATACCTTTGATATTCCCCTTGATCCCCCCTAATCCACCGATATCCCTTTAATCTCTGAATTTTTATACCAATGGATAGAGGAGTGTTTTACATACTTTAAGAAAAAATCAAGATTTTAGCTTAACTGTCCTAAAACTTATAAATGCCTGATTGAAATAATCAAAAATAACTAATAAAAAATGCCTATTGGAGAGAATGAGTCCCTTTTTCGCTCAAAAATGGGGTACTTTAAGCGAGAGGGCATAGTAAATTTATTTTTCAACGGAAATTTTTATAAATTATATCAAAAAATAAGCACACTCTATCCTATCTAAAAATATTTAATTTGGAATTTTTAGGTTGAATTAGGATTTTTAAAAATTTTTAAAAATCTCTTTAATTGGCACATATGTACCAAAAAGCACGTATGTCTACATATGATGTTTCCAAGGCAAAACTCATCATATGACGAACATCATACGTCTCAATATTTTGTAATTGAAACATACGTATGATTAATCATATGAGAAATCATACGCCGCGTATGATTCTACGTACGATGTGATGATCACATCAGCGATGTGACGATATGATTAATTGAAACACGCGTATGATTTTCTCATATGATTAATCACATCTGTGATGTGATTATTCGTATGATTTTCCTGAAACACGCATCGGGGATATGATTCTTCATCACATCGTATCATCACATCGCAGATGTGATGCTAATTGAAACAGGCCCCTGGATGGGGTCGAACAAATAAGTACCAGGATTCTTTTTATTAAAATAATAATTTTAGAATTTTCACTCAATATAATTCGAAAATAGCCTAAAAACAAAGTGCTTATGTTAATAACTTGTTTTATAATTTTGAATTTGGACCCTATCTTAAGTAATGTGTAAGTTTTATTTTTAGATGTATTTTTTAATTAAAGAAATTATATGTATTTTTAAAATTTTAGTTTTTCTTTTAAGTTTTTACCATATCTATCCATTTCTACGGCAACAAATAATCTTTGAATTTAACTTTTATTCTGAAAATTAATTAAATTGATATTTAACATCTGAATTACTATTTAAATATTTTATTGAATTAACATAAAAAACTGTGAAATTTTTTTTAAATTATTTCATTTATTAAACAAACAAAAATTAATTAAATAAGTAATTATTTAATGCCGTATTTTCTCTAAAATAAGCCTTCCCCATAAAATATTTGTTTGTTTTGACATTGTGTTTTCAAAGCATGCCACAGTGAGTCCCTATAGTTAAATAAGCTTCAAAAGGATTAAGAAGGATATAGAAGGATACCCTTCTAAATCTCGAAAAATAGCCCCTGGGCTTATTTTAGTGAAAATACGTCAGATATAATTTGTTATAATTCCCTCTATTTAGTAAGAGAAGCGGTAGCTAAGCCACAAACGGCTCCACCTGCTAAGGCCCCAACTATGGCACCTGCTGGACCTGCAACGGCGCCAAGGCTAGCTCCATACTTAGCACCAACAGCAGCACCGGCACCAGCACCAATGCACCCACCAGCAACAGTTCCAGCAACAATCTTGGTTTTACGTGCGCCTTAATTAAAGAATATTTATAAATAACAAAAAAGAAATTTATAAACAAAAATCAAAGTTATCGTGTGCCAGCTCCGATTATAGTATACCTCCTATATAATTTTATCTGACTTAACCCGATAACTTGATTTGGCTCGCCGTAACTCTTTTACTTATATTATGGTATAAGACGACGGTTATTAACAAGCACCTGGATTTACGGTTCCGTCAGGTTAACCGACACCCAACAAATCTAATTAAATTTGGCGTTTTCGAATCGGGCCGTCGTTCGATTCAGTTCTTTCGGGCCTGCTTTTTACGAACCGGGCCATCACCCTAACTTTAACACTTACTTTCAGTTTTTTCTTTCTCGTCAAACTTTTTCAGTAATGCATTAAACCCCTCAGTAAGAGATTGTACTTGTTGTTCTTGAATTTGTATAGCATTAATCATAATATTTAGTAAAGTTAACTCTTCATCAGACACTCCATCTTCATCTCGCTGATAAGAAAATTTTTTGAAATTTTAAAAATAAAATATAAATACCAATTGCTCTATTTGACGTAAAACTAATTCTCGATTATTATTACGTAAAACTAATTGATTATTAGCCATTTTATAATTAAATAATTTAAAAAATTATTATTGAATTAATTATAAAAATTCTGAAAATATATAGTAGGTAACCGTAATATCGACTTTCACAACAGCTTGGTCGAAAATCCATAAAATTTTACGATAAATTTTACGTTAATTTCAATAAATTTTTATCTTAAACCATGTTTATTTTTCTTAAAATCTCATTTAGTCTCAAAACGGAGCTGCTTATAAACACAAAAACTTCTTTAAAAAATTTTAGTAGAAAGTAATTAAAAAATAATAAAGGAAGTTAGAAATACTATATATTTATATTCCACAATCTCATCCTTCCCATAAAAAATAGCAGGGCAAAAATACGCCCTTATTCTTCCAATTTAGGCCACAGACATTGCCTTAAAAGAGTCTAGTGAAGGTTACATTGTCTACTACATTTATTTGTTATCAAGTTCAAGGAGTTTATTTGCTCCGAGCAGATAAATATTTTTTATATGTTAAAAATATTCTATTATTTCCTAAATTTTCATTGGTATAAAGGGATTAAGGATAATCAAGGTACGGAACAGACAAGTCACGGAACGACAATTCAAGGTCTTCGTAAAAAAACAATTCTGAAAAAATTATGATTTTTAAAAATATTTTGATTTTAAAAGTCTAATTTTAAAATTTTATCATTTTTGAATAATCATATTTTGATCGGCGATTTTGTATGACGTTGCCTTGTCCGACCTTGATGTGTCGTTTTTGGATTTGTCTGTTCGTTGAGTTAGCTTGAAACGGGTTAATTTACATATATTTGCATCAATAAAGTAATAAAACTTCAGTATAAGGCCAGAACCCAGCGGAGTAAAATCATGGTTTAATCGTGGATTGGAGTTTCAATCTAGTATGAAATTGGTGAAAATAATCAGTCTTGGCTTCATGCTTTTCATTTAATGCGAATGAAAAACATCAAATTTCTAGTCATTTCTTTGAAAGGCAGAAAATGGAAGTCGGAAGGAATGGAGGGCATTTAATATTGGAGATGCCCTCCTTCTGAATGGCATCTATGCATAAAATGGGATTTAAATATAATAGAAAGTCTCCAATTTTATAATAGAAAAGGTTTCCAGACATCTCGGGACAGGGTTATCAGCAAACACTCTAGAAAATAAACTCTGATGTCTCTCACATTTTTTAATTTTTTAAATTTTACTTAAATATATCATATACATATGTAGAAAAAGTTTTATGTTTTAGAACCAACATGAATACACAAAAAATTATTTTTGCTAAAGTATTCATATGTATATCTCACTACCAAAGAAAATATAGTAAATACTAAAATAACTATTTTTAACGTATAAAAAATATTTATCTGCTCGGAGCAAATGAACTCTTTGAACTTGATAACAAATAAAAGTAGACGATGTGACCTTGACTAGCTTCGTTTAAGGCAATGTCTATGGCCAAAATTGGAAGAATAAGGGCGTATTTTGCCCTGTTATTTTTTATGTGAAGAACGAGGTTGCTAGTAATATGTACTTGTGCTTTCATTTGTTAATGTTGTTAGATTTTTTTATTAAATTTTCTAAGAATTATTTATTAAACGTGTAAAAAATTACTTTATGTTAAGATATCATTAATATTAAAATATACACTAATTATTTCTGTTTTATATAGAATCAAGCCCATTCATTTAAAAAACTATTATTTTTTTCAAATTAAATTTCTTATAAACTATATTGAAAGTAAATAAAATTTAGAAAGTAATAAACTTCAAAAATAAAATCAGTTTTTTTTTCAAATTATTTGATATTTAATCATAAGGTTTAATTTTAAAGTCCTTTATAAATAAAATTTAAAATCAAATTATTTCAAATTTCTCCTGTTTCTGTTTCATGTTTCTCCTGTTTCTCCGAAGCTTTTTACCGTCCCCTACCCTTCTCCCTCTCAGAACATTCCTAGTAACTAAGTTAGAAATCTTCGGATATCCGGATCACTCATTTTTTCCATCAAATTTAAATCCAGATTATATTAAAAAATCGTTTAACGGTAAAAACCCTACTTTAACCAATTATTTAATTTTGTAACAAATTATTTTACTGTTTTATTTTAAAAAATTTTTATGTATTTTGAAATAATTTTCAATTTTTCTTTAAAAATCAACAAGACTGTTTGTTCTACAGTACTTATATGTATATCCATTCAGATTTTAATTAAAATGTTTAATTTTCAGAATTTTATTGTAATTGATTTTAAAAACCTATTAATTGTTAAGCAATAATGGCACATGAAGGTAATAGTACATTGATTAAAATTTAAAAATTGTTAAAACTAAAAAAATATTTAACCTACATATCCAAAAATATAAAGGATTTCATAATTTTGTAAATTAAAGTTTTAAGTATACAGTATTTCCTCTAAAATTAGCCCAGGGGCTCATTTTTTCGATCGATCTCTAAAGGGAGCTTATTTTAGAGGCGGGGGGAGGGGGGGGGCGCGGGGACTTATTGGTCGGGGATGATTTTTTTGTGTCAAGTGTATCAAGGGATTTTAGATGATTAAAATTTGTCGGTGGTTAAAGAGTAGTTACTTAGATTTTTTATATTTTTTTAAGTTTTTTCGATTTTTTTTCAATTCTAGCTATTGCAGTAATGTAAAAGGATTATTAATGTATTTGATGGAATTTAGAGCATATAGCGAAGAATTTCACAGTTATCCGTTCCACTCGATCTTACGATATTTCTACAAATCTTAGAAATATCCAACAAAATCCTCGGATATCCGTTCAAAATATTTTAATCCAATGAACTCACTATTTATTCAATAAAATCCTGATTAATCAGCGAAATCTCTCTTAATCTACATAAATACCTCTTAATCCCCCGATATCCCTCTTAATCTCCCTTGATCTTCAATATACCTAATTATCTCATTAAATCTACAAATCCTCCGATATCACTCTTAATCAACACAAATACTCGATATCTATGTGATTCTTTATACACCTGTTATCTCCTAAATACCATCATAATTGCTTCAAATCCTTCTATATCACTCAATAGGGACTCAACTGAGGGGACAAAACAATTACTTGACAATTAAAAATTTTATGTGGGAGGGAGCTTATTTTAGAATTGGGGCTTACTTTTTTCGTTCGACCTTAGAGGAGGCTTATTTTGTAGTGGGAGCATATTTTAGAGGAAATACGGTATTTGGGTGAAATCATTACTAAATTTGTACCGTACGACCGACGTTATTATTTGATATTTCATTTGTACAGTAATAAATGCGGTACAGAAGTGTAGCAGTTTTCAACTAAAATTTATCGATAAAATTCATCGGTATCAATTTTATCGGTATATATTTTTATCGATACTTTTGGTATTCCTTACCGTAGTACGGTGCGTTACAAAATTCCTGGCTCTAATAGATAAGGAGATTATACACTAATCACTTATAAGAAAATCTCTGATAGTATTGAGAGTGGGTCCCATACTAAGATTAACAATCGAAACACTGATAAATAGGGACAGCCAAAACATGCAAATGCATGTTTTGTATGCGGATATGCCTTGAAGTGGGAAGCCCAAAAATGGTGTTTTTACATATGTACGAGCACTTTAAGACCCGGTTCTTAATGCATATATTTGCATATTTCGACCATTTCGCGCATATTTGCATATTTGTGCATATTTTGGGAAATTTTGCATATTTTGGTCCATATTTTGACATTTTTTGTAAAATTTTGCCAAAAATTGACCAAAATTTTGAAATTTATTAGACAAAAAAATTTTTTGCAAAAATTTTTTGAAAAAATATTTTTCGAAAAATTTTTTAGGAAAAATTAAAAAAAAATTTTTTTTGCAGAAATTTTAAATCCACTAAATCTTTTAGAGTTGCTCTCAAAATGTAAAATTAAAGGTTAAATTAATGTTTTTAACATAAAATATAGACTTTTAAAGCATATTTTAACTATTTTTTGGTGCATATTTCAGTGCATATATTGGCAAATTTTGCATATTTTGGTGCATATTTTGGGCTTTTTCGGTGCATATATATGCGCATATTTGGCGATTTTCCGTGCATATTTTGGCTGTCCCTACTGATAAAATCTTTAATTAATAAAATTATTTATAGATTTTAGCCGATCATTAAGAGAACTTGCTGATAGAATGTCTAATAATATACAAGGTCTTGAAGTACTTGAGGAACTTCAAGAAGAAGTTCAACAAAATTTGGAAAGGCAAGAAAATCGCCGTAAAATTATTAAAAGCAATTCTGACAACAGCAAAAACATTTTGCCAATGATAACTGGGGCAGTAATCGTTGGAACTGTATTTGGTTTGTGCATATTGTCAGGACATAGTTTGCCGATATTTGGAATAGGCGCGGTTGTTGGAGCAGCAGCTGTAGGATCGGTTCTTGGAGGAGGAAATGGAGGATGTTCTGGGAGAGGAGTTGTAGTGGCTCCTAAAGGAGAAACTGTTCGATCTATTGAAGGAGTAATTGTTGGAGCTATTGAAGGAGGAAGTGTAGTGACTGTAAAGGAAGATGATGGAAATGTCAATAAGAAAATTTAATTAAAAAATTTTTTTATTTAAAGTTATTATTTAATTTTTCTATTTATACTTAAATAAAATATTTTCTTAAAGAAATTTTTTTATTAATTAGGTAAGTATTAAAAGGTTAAGAAACTTATAATTGTTATACTTGCATTACCTTTTGCTGTTTTAGATTTAATTGCCTTAATTTTTTTCGATATTAGGACGATCATGTATTTTGTTAGAGATCGTCAAATCAAAGCTTTGGTCAAGTTGAAAGACTGATCAACTTTTTTTCAAATTATTTTGCTTAAGGAAATTATTTTTTGAATAGGGAGTTAAAAAATGTTTATTCAATCTCCGTAATTAACTCAAAAATTTTCGTTATATAAAGAGTAAGGAAATACTGTCTTACTTAAAGTAGGGTAGAAAGCCGACATTTCAGAGTCGAGAGTGTAGAGCATATTTGGCAGGGGAGTAGCAGGGGAAAGCATACAGGGTTTCGGCGTCGGAAAATTAAAATAAATTGAGTAAAAATTATTCTGAGATAAAATTCTAAATCAAGCAGATTTTATGTTGTCAAATTAACAATTTAAATTAATTTAATAAAATTTGAATAATTAATTTTTTTGCAAAAATATTTTGAAATTAAAAAAAGAGTTTTTTTATTAATTTTATTTTTAGCCAAAGAGTAAAGCATCAAACATTAAATGCAAAAACAAAATTTTAAAATAAACTAAAAATGATTTTTTTCCATAAAAAATACTTTTTTTGCAAATTTCTCAATAATTTATTTACTTAAAAATAAAATGAGTAAAAATTACGCAATTAAATCTATTTTGGTAATAATTTGGAAAAGCTTTCTGCTTGGATAGAAAATCTAAATGGGCAAAAATGCAAAATCAATCCTAAACATACTAAGTTGATGTGTTTTGGATATTCACGTGAATTTATTGATAAATAAAAAATTTGCAGATGAGAATTTTTTATATAAAAATAAATTTTTTCTCTATATTTTTAAGGTATCTTTTATATCAGATTATCTTAAAAATTTATTTTATATTTTTTAAATTAAATTTTTTATTATCCTTTTTTGGTTTCATACGGGATAAATGGCGATAAGTAAAACTTATTATTATAAATATCTCATTCATTGTTCCTAAATAGAGATCGGAATTTTGTTCCGTAACGTATTCCGCCCCGTACTTCCGCCCCAATACCGATAAAATACGGCCGTAGTACGGTACGGTCCGATCTCTATTCTTAAATGGCTAAATTTAACCATTAAATAAGGATAAATCCTATCAAAAACTTAATCAACATAATATTATAAAGATGGATCGCAAAATTGTTTTTTTAATAATTTTATTTTTTAGGAAAAACATTTAAAATAGTTTTAAATTAAAAATTTAATAATAAATTATTTAAAAATGGCGATTATAATTTTGTTTATTATTTCTTCTATTCTTGTTGCTAAGTTTAATTGTAAGGACGATTGTGTGATTGGACAAACTGGAGGTAGTTTTACTGATTATAAAATATACTTTTTGAATTAATGTTTACAAAACAATCAAAATTAACGTTTCTAAAAAATCTAAAGCTGTGAAATTTATAAAATAAAATTTATTTTTGTTAGCATGTTTGTCAAAGAGTGGAAAAAACTGCTGTTTGTTAGGTCATAAACAATGTTGTAGTAGTATTATAACTGTTCCAAAACCTAGCTGCTTGCATAAAGGGGGTAAGTAAAATTTAACAATATTATAATACAGTGTGTCAATAAACTTTAAGACCACCTGTAATTTTCAAGTTATTCCAACCTACTTGTAAATCTCGGTAATGAAATTTTATTCAACTGTTTCTTACCGTAAATAAAAATTATTTAACAAATAAATTTTAAAAAAACTCGAACTGGAATGCTAAATTTTGTCTAAATTCACCAAAAGCATGTGTCAATAAACCTTAAGACCACAATTAGTTTCGACATTAGGGTATGTTCAAAAGAGCTACAAAAATTTCTTTTGTTATTTACGGTAAGAAACAGTTGTGTAAAATTCAGAGACTTAAGTGGAAGTTGAAAAAACTTTAAAATGAATAGTGGCCTTTATTTAAAGTCTATTGACACACTATATACATATTTTAAATATTTTAATTTGCACAAGTAAAAAATTAATAAAGTAATTTCTATTTAACTAAAGATAAATGGAACTTTATGAATTACCTAATTCAAATGAATTTTAATTTTCAGAAACACCAAAACAAGGACAAAAATGTTGCAAAGGAAAACCTACCAAAGGAAAATGCCCCTAACTTTGTCTAAAGAAATGTGAAAATATCTAAATAATTGGAGAATATTTTGAACTAAAAGAAATGGGAATTTTAACAATTTATTTTAATAATTAAGAACTGAATATTTATTTATTTTATACTTTTTGTGGTCCTGAAAATTCTAACCCAAAATTAATTATTTCTTTGATAAAGCAATTTTCTTTTCAATCGTATAAATAAAATGTAAGGAAAATGATGATTTAATTGTAAAGCAGTAGTTTAAACAAGACTATCGTTCGACCTCGACTTTGATTTTGCTAAAGTGATTTGAAAACATTTTGAAAAATTTGAAGGGCAAGAGACTCTTTTTCACAATTACCAATTTTCCTTTTCTTTTCCTCTCACACTTTCCTCCTTTATCTTGTTCGTTCTTTACCTTCTTTATCATATCTTGTTTCACTAATATTCTCACCAATTCATGAAATGCCAATTTACATAGGGGTTTACATAGGGGTCCGATTCCGGCCACGATCTTGGGATTGGCCTAAACCGAATAAACTTTGTATTTCGGTCTCAGGATCAGGAAAATCGGGATCGGGAATCAAAAAACAGGGATCATGCCGCCCGATCTCGATCACGGATAACTCTACATTAAATCGAGGTCCTCGCCTTTAAACCTAGCCGAGGACCGAGGCTAAATATACCCCATAGAGATTGACTTTTTTCAATACCTCGGCCAATTTTGCCCATACCAATGGATCACGGCTTTGCCAGCCTCGGTAATCAGCCTCGATTTCTTCAAAATCTCGACATCGCGCTACTTTAGATTAAAAAGCTGGTTCGTGACTATATTTTTTTATAATCGCGGTTCTGAAAATAGAACAAAAATTCATGACCGATTTTGATTCGATCTTAAAGCTACGCCTAATAAGCGTTTTAAAAGTTAGCCCGCTTAATCTTTCTATTCCTTAAATCAAACATATTTCCGATATATCCAAAATTAGTTCTTAATTCTTTTTTAAGACTATCATATTTCTCTCCCAAATAAATCATTTTTAACTCCGCAGGTAAAATTTTGACAAATTTGGAGGTTAAATTTAATTTTTAACCAAGAAGTCCATCTGAATTGACGTACTTCTCATATGTGCATTTTATTTTGGAAATACTATGTCGATTTTTATGTACAGTACTATCAAAATAAGTACTGATCAGAGCCCTGTTTTTAAGTATTCATTTAATATTTATTAAGATAATGAAAAAATATTTTGTGTTCGAATGAAAACTTTGAAAAAAAATCCAATATGCTTTAAAAAGCATATGAATATTCACGTGAAAATAGATTCAAAATAGTTAGAGAACTTGAATCTTTTTCTTTTTTTAAATTAAAATATAAAAACCATGCGAATATTCACGTGGAACTTGGCTTATTCAAAATTAGTTGGTGAATTAATACTTAAATTTTATGTATTTAAAAATAAAATAATTTAGAGAAAAAATTTTTTCTAGCTAAATTAATCTTAATTTGTACCAATCCAACGTTGCTCTAAAATTTTTTGGTGGCCCTGCCAAAAATAAAAAAAAAATTATTTTTTTGGTGGCTCTACCAAAAATAAAAAAAAATTATTTTTTTTTGGTGGCTCTGCCAAAACTAAAAAAAATAATTTTTTGGTGGCCCTGCCTAAAATTAAAAATAAATTTTTTTTGGTTCGCCAAAAATAAAAAAATACTTTGCTGACTTCTGCCAAAATAATATTTTATTTTATAAAATATTATTTAAAAAATTTATAATCATATGAATAAATATTTTAAATTAAATAATTTTAATTTTTTAAAATTAATCTTTAATTCTTTAAGTATTATATAAAAGATTTTAATCAAGTTGATAATTTATAATTTAAATTAAATTTAAAAAACATTCTTATAATTGTTTAATTAAACTGATTAAAATAAATATTTTCATTAGAAAATTTAAGAAAAATAAATATATTAAACATTTAGTATAATTCCTAATGGTTAAAAATATTTTAATAATTATTACAATTTTATCTTCTTTCATTATTTTTGTTACTTGTTGCGTACAAAAGAAAGTTAACGATAGTAAGTTTAATAATTACTTAATAAAATTATTTAAATAAATGACAAATCTAATTATAATGATAGTGTGATAATGCATTAGAAGATTGTTTTGCAGACAATCTATAATGTTGTCAATTCAATTTGCCTTGTTTAACTGGGGGGTTTTCAGTATCCTCTAAAAAGAGTCAATACATATTAAATTTAGCTCTAATACAGGGCCGTATTCGTATTTATTATTAATTATCCAAAGGAGATATATTATAAAGAAAAAAAATTATTCAGAAAAATTTATCAAAAATTTTAAATAATTCTTAATTGCTAAAATATTCTAATTAAACTCATTTTAAAATAAAGATTGTGTTCCAGAAAATCAAGATTGTTGTGATCCAAAACTTCAATGTTGTGCATTTGGAGATAGTTCTTGCACAGCTGCTAAATGTTGTATTAGAAATGAACGTAAGCATACATATATGTAATAATTCCAAAATTATTTAAGCTTTCCCTATTCTTGTTTTGATTTCTGAAAAAAATAACGTTTTTATAAAATTAAATTATTCTTTAGAACAAGCAGCAGATAAAAGTCATTGTTGTTCAAACAACATGAGCAATGGATTATGCGCAATGAAGCCCGGAAAGTAACAGGATCAAGAAAAAATAAACTTTAATAGTAAATGAGGACATGAAAACAAAAATATAAA